AAAGGAAAGGAAAGGAAAGGAAAGGAAAGGAAAGGAAAGGAAAGGAAAGGAAAGGAAAGGAAAGGAAAGGAAAGGAAAGGAAAGGAAAGGAAAGGGAAAGGGAAAGGGATAGAATTGAAGAGAAGGGAAAGAAGGAAAGGAAAGGGAGGGTGTTGGGCTCTGCTTCCAGGGAACAAGGACAGCAGGAGAGGGAAAGGCCTCAGGCTGTGCCAGGGCAGGCTCAGGTGGGATCCTGGGAAAATTCCCTCATGGAAAGGGTTGTAAACATTGGAACTGCCCAGGGAGGTTTGGAATCCCCATCCCTGGAGGTATCCAAGGAACACCCGGCCATGGCACTCAGGGCTCCAGGCTGGGTTCAGAGCCAGCTTGGCCTCGCTGATCCTGGCGGCTTTTCCAGCCTCAGCAATTCCATGTTTTCCACTGCCCTCCCCGTCCCTGCAGGAGCGGCGGGTGGCAGCCAAGCAGCTGGAGATGCAGAACAAGCTGTGGGTGAAGGACGAGAAGCTGAAGCAGCTCAAGGCCATCGTCACCGAGCCCAGAGCCGAGAGGCCAGAGAGGCCATCCCGGGAAAGGGAGCGGGAAAAGGCTCTCCCGAGATCCGTGTCGCCTTCCCCTGCGCCCGTGAGTCACTCCCAAACCTGCTGGGTTGAGGAAACAGCGGTTTTAGGGATGAAGCTCAGGGATTTTAGTCATTAGTAGCCCCCAAGCACAGAGCTGGAGCAGCTTGCTTTGAGTTCTTTGTCTGCTGTTTGTTCTTCATCCATCCTCCCACCTCCTGATACCCGCAGGATTAAAAATCCCTGGATTTTTCTGTCCCTGTTTGCTTGGAGTCTCCTGTATTTCACTGCTCTCTCCCTTTTCCAGAGATCTGAGGTTTCAGCCCAGAGTTGGAGCAGCTTGACTTCCTTTAATCCTGTTTGTTCTCCATCCCCTTTCCCACCTCCTGAGATCCACAGGAGCAGGAAATCCCTGGATCTGTCTGTCCCTGTGTCTCACTGATGCTTCCCTTCTTCCCAGAGCTGGGATGTCCCTGCTGGAGTTTGAGCCCCGAGTTGGAGCACCTTGAATTCCTTGTCCGTTGTTTATCCATTCTCCCACCTCCTGATATCCACAGGAACAGAAAATCCCTGGATCTGTCTCTCCCTGCATGGCATCCCTGTTTGATTGCTCGACACCTCACTGATGTTTCCCTTCTCTCCAGAGCTGGGGTGACCCCGCTGAGCTCAGGGGCAGAGCTGGAGCAGCTTGAATTCTCTGTGTCCTGTTTGTTCTCCATCCATTCTCCCACCCCCCGATATCCACAGGAACTGGAAATCCCTGGATTTGTCCCTGTCTGACCCCTCCTGTGTCTCCCTGCTCTCTCCCTTCTGTGACATCCCTGCTGAAGTTTGAGCCCTGAGTTGGAGCAGCTCGAATCCCTTGTTCCTCTGTTTGTTCCTCATCCATTCTCCCACCCCCTGATATCCAGAGGAACGGGGAATGCCTGGACTGGTCTGTCCCTGTTTGCTTGGAGTCTCCCGTGTCTCACTGCTCTCTCCCTTCTCCCCAGAGCTGTGGTGACCCCGCTGGGCTCGGGGACAGCCGGGCGGCCCCGCAGGCGCCCAGGCGCTCCAACTCCTGCAGCAGCATCTCTGTGGCCTCCTGCGTGCTGGAGTGGGAGCAGAGGGGCCCTTCCTGCGAGCCAGCCAGCATTCCCAAAGCCAGGAATAAAGCGGGAGCGGAGCCGGGCTCGGCCTGGCCCAGCCCTGCCAGGAGGAGAGGGATGTGCTGGAGCCGAGTGCTGGAGGTGCCCAGGGATAGAGAGGAGCTAGAGCAGGAAGAGGATCCGTGCTGCAGGGTTAGTCCTGGCCCAGTGGGGCTGAGCCTGGCTTAAAGGTTCTCTGTCCTCGAGCCCATCGTAGAGTAGAGCTGTTCCTAATGTGTCCTGCTGGTCCCACACTCAGCCTGGCTGCTCTCGCCGCCCTCTTGGTCTTTGGAGCTTCCTTGCAAGTTGAGAATTTCCACTTTTAGGGAGCTCGGAGGTGGCCACACTCTGCTCTAGCCATGGGTGTCCTCATGTTTCTCCCGGTGTTTCCCTTTTCCTGGTGTTTCCCTTTTCCTGGAATTTCCCTTTAACCCGGCGTGTTTCCCTTTTCCTGGCGTTTCCCTTTTCCTGGAATTTCCCTTTAACCCGGCGTGTTTCCCTTTTCCTGGTGTTTCCCTTTTCCTGGAATTTCCCTTTAACCCGGTGTGTTTCCCTTTTCCCGGCGTTTCCCTTTTCCTGGCGTTTCCCTTTTCCTGGCGTTTCCCTTTTCCTTTCCCTCATATCTCCTCCAATCCCTCCTGCAATTTCCCAGCTTCCAAGGTGCTTCTGGGAGCTTGTCCTGCCTGGAAGCATCCCTTGGATAAACCTCTTGTGTGCCTCAGCTTTAACTCTCTTCCCTAATTCCCATTAAACTGGGAGCTCTGGAATTATTTGGCTCCTGATGTTGTCTTCAGGATTCAGTCCCAGAGCACTTTTGGAAAGCAGATGGGGATGGGGACAATCCCTTCCTTTGTCCCCTCCCTCCTCAGTGTGGAATGCAACAGATTGGACCAAAATTCCCAAGAAATATGACTTGACGTGGAATATTCCGTGGATATTCCGATGCCAAGCTCATGGTGGTGCCTTCAGGATTCAATCCAAGAGCACTTTAGGAAAACCAAGCAGGACAATCCCTTGGGCTGGTGCTGTTGATTTGGAAATTTGGGAGGAGCTTTCCCAAACTTGAGGAAACTTAATGGAATGTGGCAGATGGGACAACACTGGGATAAAATTTCCATGAAACAGGAGTTGGCCCGGAGTATTCCATGAATAATTTGATGCCCAAAAAATAGGAGTTGGCCCGGAATGTTCCATGGATAATTCGATGCCAAGCTCTTTGTGGTGCTCTCAGGATCCAACCTAAGAACCGAACCATTGCCTTTCCTGTGCTCATTCCCAGTGCCCATTCCATGTTCTCATCCCCAGTGCCCATTCCCTGTTCTCATTCCCTGTG